GGAGGCACACGAGAAATGACTTTTGTTGTTCATGGCCATCTTCGGCTTACCGAAGAGCCAACTGCATGCTGGTTCCTGGAGAACTTGTATTGGTAGCGTGCTTTTGAACAGCGGTATCCACAGTGTTTGGAGGCACATGGGAAATGTTTTTTGTCGTTCGTGGCCATCTTCGGCTTACCGAAGAGCCAACTGCATGCTGGTTCCTGGAGAATGTATGCTGCAGATACAGAATTCTCAGCAAGTTCAGGGCAACCTGCCATAACACGATTATTCTAATATTTCTATTTTGGTTACTATTATGATCATTACTATTTTAACCTGTTGTTATTATGACTCCTATTTCTATTAGTATTCACTAGTATGGGTAACACTCAGATGTACAACAACTATTTGCTAAGCCTCCACAGAACCGCAAGCCCAGGCGTCTACTCTCCAAAGAGGGGCCAGATCTGCTTTTGGGTTTAGGGATAAGGGTTTAGGATTAAGGGTTTAGGGTTTAGGACTTATGGGTTTAGGTTTAAGGGTTCAGGGGTTCAGGGTTTAGTGTTAAGGGTTTAGGATGTAGGCTTTAAGGTTAGGGTTAGGCTTCAGGGCTTTGGGTTTAGGCAACCGGAAGCCACTCCCCAGTGGAAACCTTATTACTGGAACTCACAAAACGGGACTCAGTTTTAGAAGCCCCTAGCTCTAGGGCCACCCCCATCTCCGCCGCCTCGGAGGCTCCACGACCCGAGACATGCAAACACAACCAACATCTAAACACAAGCTTCGCAGGTCTTTGCGAAACCGCGCCCTTCAGACCTTGAACTTGTTAGTGAATAGAGAAAGGCTCCCAGGTGCTTAGGAGGGAATGGGGGAATGGATCCCTGTAGTAGTCCCTATATAATCCCAATGAAAAAACCCTATAATCCGTTCCCCCATTCCCTCCTAAGCACCAGGAAGAAGGACTGGAGGAATGAAGCCCCAAGAAAGCGACCGAAGCCTGCGACTTCTGCAACTTGCGACAAGGCTTCACTGGGCCTTTTGTAGGAGGCCATGGCTTCAAACTTGATTTTGTTGGTTTCAAACTTGGGGACTTTGAGTGGATTATAGGGATACCTACTTCCTAGGCCCAAGTGCATCCTGGTGCTTGGATCTAATCTGAAGCCAGGGCCAAGCTGGAGTGTTTACAGTCTAGGTGGGCGCTCCCCAGACCCCTAAAGGGTCCAAAAAATGGAACCCCCCAAAATGACCCCCATTACGACATTGGAGAACCTAGGGGAGTTCCATTTTTGGGTTCCTTTAGGGGGGTCTGGGTCTTGACTGTTTTTGGGAGCTTGCTGGTTTCTGTGTTTATGTATCGGCAGCGTGGATTCCGTGGATAGCCATTGCGATATGGTGGCTCAACTCTTGAAAAAGGTGTCCGTGTCAGGGCTCCCTCCGAATATGTTGGACAACCAAAACCTCAACCCTAAACCCTATATAACCCGTTATAGTAGTTTCCATGTTCTTTTCCATTATCCCCAATATAACCCCTATATATATATATCGGTATAGTATTTTTAAGTGCCCC